TTTCTGCTATCTGCTTTCTGTTATCTATTACTTGTTTAAATTTTCTTAAGTTTTTTACTATGAAAATTTTTATTTTATTCTTTGATACCCAATGCACATAATATGATTAAGCGGAATTTCTGCTTTCAAGCCGAACCCAAAGTTTGTGAAAACCTTTTAATACAATAATAAAACAATCAGTGATTTTTTTGTATTATAATTTAACATTCTGAAAACTTGCTTAAAGTACTTACTTAAAATACCAGCAACCAAACCAGTGATTGCTTGCCAGCCATCTGAAAATGTAAATCCAAAGAAATCGTATCCTAATTTTTAACAAGTATAAATAGGTAAATAAAAATCGCTTATAATCGCAGAGAATACCACATGTTTAGTAACACATACCACAAAATCCAAGATCCGCAAGAAATTTCATCAAATTATATTTTAACCAATACTTTTTTTCCTCCAACTTATTCCATTCTTCTTTACTACATTTATCTTTAACTTTCCTCATCTTTGTATTCAGCAGCCAAATTTTCAACAAACAATCATTTACGTCAAGCAGAATTGTGAAAAACCAAAATCTAATAGCAATTGGTTCTGCGCGTTTCTCAATTCCTTTACTTAGCACGCCAATTTTTCCCAAACAATAAAGATCATCAAAAAAATCATTCAACAATCCAATCATTGAATTTAAAAAGCCTATATAGTATATTAATTTTTCAATTTTATCCGCGGGATATGTATAAGCGCCAGTTATATAATCTCGAAGTTCGTTATATGGTTCGATGAAATGGGCAAGACGTAGAATTTTTCGAGTAGTAGAAAAATTGGAAGCTAAAGCGGAAAGTCGAGGTTTTAGGAAGGAAGTAGGATTAGATATCCGATGTTTGAAGAACACAGAGGAGGGGGAAAGAAAAGCCCAAAGATAAAGTTTTGCAGTATATTGGATTATTTTCAGGGTTTTGTCTCGTCCATCGGAAAGTGCCACTAAACGACGAAATACTTCAACAGGTGGAAGTTTTAGTCGCTTTGATGTAATAGTTGTTACTGTTGGTGTTGACCTTGAGATTTGAGATGTAGGAGGGTTGTTTGTAGCTTCTTTTTCAGCTGTTGATTTTGTATTCGGGGTATTATTTAGTATAACATTATTACTATTCCTGTTAGTAATAGTAGAGATACTAGTAGAACAATTTGTTTTTGTATCTGTTGACTTCATTATTGAGAGGAATGTTAGGGTGGAAGGAATGGGAGTGATTATACGCGAAGTAGTTTTTGATAGGGAGTCCAGTAAGAAAAGGATGAATTTCGTTGTGTTAATTTAATTGGTTGAAAATTTACATGTCAGATAAAAATTGTCCCACAATAAGGGGCACTTCCGAAATGTGTGTCAGGTTTTGTCGATCACGTGGCGCAAACGATCGATTATTAGTTCCAATCAAATTTAATATTACTTTTAAAATTAATAATATTCAAAATTAATTCTTAAATTAGCTCAAAAAATATTCAAATATTTATATAATTAAATTATTAATAATTTTTTATTTAAATTATTTAAGAGTTTAATTCTAATATTATTATTAGTATATTTAAATTTTCAAGTTTAAAACTAGTATTATTAATATTTAAAATTTATATTATATTATATTTAATTTATATTATTTTAAATAATTATGACAGATTAAAATGAATTCAGATTAAAATGAATTCTGATTCTTTTTTATGCATATAGCATATGATTTATGAATATGTAATTATATATAAATCATATACTATTAATAATAATATATTATAATAGGAGAATAATTAAAGTATAATCTGGATAAGAATAATAATTAGAATAGAGAACAAAATTATATGGAAAATTACAGTTCTGATATTTTTCATATCTTATATTGGATTTGTTTTATATCTATAATAAACTACATCTTAATCATATATTTGAAAATAATAATACATTATTGAAATAATTATAATAATAATAACTATTACATCTTAAACTTTTTATTATTTACTCAGATAATAAAATTATTTTTATTTAAAGAGAATTTATCTTTATCTCTTTTAAAAAAATCTATTTGTTTTCATCATCTGTCTTTCATTATTTGCTTTCTGCTATCTGCTTTCTGTTATCTATTACTTGTTTAAATTTTCTTAAGTTTTTTACTATGAAAATTTTTATTTTACTATTGATCTTAACTTTTATAGTTTTATTATTTTTATATATAGATATAATCTTTCTATTATTATTACATATCTGCTTTAACTTTCATTTTCTTATTTTTTTATTAATATCATAATTGTGAGTAATTATGATCTCATCTTCTGGCTCAAAAACTAATTTTCTTTGATAAATGCTTTCTTAAATCACAAGCTTATTTTGATAAAGTTTATCATTTTTTGTGATTTCTCTTCTTACTTTTTTAACTTATATTATATAAGCATCATAGGTAATAACTTGGCCATTCATAATTGGTATATTCTCTATTTTTATGACTGTGTCATATATATTATCTCTGTAATTATTTTACTTAGCATATCTATTTTGTCTAATATATTTTTTCTTTCTTCTTTTTCAATCAAGATACATATATTAGTACTTGCAATATCATTATCCTTCTCTTTCAGCATAATACCAACTTGTATTATTTCACTCAGAATATTATTAGCTTGTATTATTTTATCCAGTATATTATAAATTTCTTATATTTTAAATTCAAAAAATACTTTATATAGAAACTTTTTGTAATCTTTATAAGATGTTTTATTATATATAATCATAAATAAGAGAAGAATATTAGTCTATTGATAGTTTTGAATCTCAGAAATTTCATTTTAAAATAATTTTGTTAAATAATGACAAAGTATTTGATTAAATCTCTCAATTTTTTCTTGATTTTGTAAATAGCAAGCATAATTATGAATAAGTATCATATTAAAGATATCACAAATATATTTTAAGATACTAATTATAAATTCTATTGTCTGCTCGAAGTATGGAAAGGAGATCAAAACTCATAAAAACTTATATTATTATATCATAAATTATACTGTCTTCTTTATTTGAAAGAGGAATGATCCAAATATAATATGAAAATATATTAATTATTATTAGAATGTAACTATATTCATTATTATATTTAGCAAAGGAGAAAAAATTAATCAAATTAATCTGAATATATTTGAGAAAGTTATTAGTTATAATAAATATTAGATTAGCTTTTTCTTTGATACTAACATTTTAAATGCAAGTTGAGTAATTACTTATATATTATTTAATTTCATCTTATATAATATCAATATGCTACTTATAAATCATTGCATATATTTTGTGATAGTTAAAGTAAGCAGCTCTAATATGAAATCTTTTAAAAAGAACTATTCTTAATTTTACATTATAGACAGAAATAACTCTTTTTATAATAGGCTGGAAATTTGTATCTTTCAGCTATTAAATATAAAAAAGATAATCTTTCTAATGATTATATGCAAAATTTTCATATTATCTTTAGAAATTTATTTTCTTTGTCAAGATATTAAACTTTGTTAAAAAGATATCAAACTTGATGTAGCTAATCATGTTATTAAAATCCTCAAGTATTTCTGGAATTTTTAATAACTTAATCATTTTGAGAGAGAGAAAAAAGATATATATTAATTTTTTTATTTGTTAATATATAAAAAATTATATATAATGTATTATAATATGATATAAGGATATATTTTTATTTGCATATCTTAATATTAATATCTTCCTAATCTAATATAATTGACAAAAATAGCTTGAAACTATTATATAATAATAAGAAAAAGTAATATAAAAAATTATATAATAAAATAATAATAAATTATAAGAATGAGATAATGAAAATCAATAGTAAAAATATATCAAGCTAATATAATAAGATAATATAAAGAATTGATAACAAGAAGCACAACAAACTAGCTTATATATTCTTTAATATCAAAAAAAAGAAGATAGTTTATATATTTTTTGACATCAAAAAAAGAAAATAACTTATATATTCTTTAATATTAAAAAAAAGAAGATGACAAAAAGACTCAAAGTCAGCTAAGAATTTACAAAGTAACTAAGAAAATAACTAATTAAACAAGAAGCAATTTAATTCAAAGCACATAAATTAACTGAAAATTTATCTAGGTGAAATATCCAAATAAATAGAAAATGACAGATAAAGAAAAAGAAAGTATAAAAAAATTAAGAAAATAACTAATTAAATGAGAAGTTATTAAAGATAATTTAATTCAAAGAATTACACAAACCAATCAAGAATTCATCTGGATGAAATATCCAAATAAATGATAAAAAAAAAGGGAAATGAGAAATGAAAAAAAAGGAAGGGTAAGAAAAAAAAATCACTTTTTTTCTTACTGAATTTAGTATTATATTATTATTAGTTACATATAATATATAATTAATGATAAGTTATATACTAGTGCATAAATATTAAATCATATATTATAATAAAATAAAATGATGTAATATACACAAAATGATATGCACAAAAAAGATTCAGAATTTATTTTAATCTAAATTTATTTTAGTTTGTTATAATAATTATATTAATTTATTAATAAAAATATTATAAATTTATAATTAAAATAAGTTATATTTTGTTATAATTTATTAAGATTTTAGTAATAATAAAAATATATATAAATTTATTAATTATTTAAAAATTAATATTTTTTTATAATATTAATATTAATAAAATTAAAATAAATTAGATTAAAATAAATTAAATTAATAATAATTAATAAATTTATAATTAATATAAAAAGTAATAATAAATATGTTTTTTACTTATAACTTAAGTTAAAACTTGAATATTTATTCTGAATTGATTAATAAAAGATTTATAAAATAAGTTATTCTTATTTTGATTATTATAACTAGTAAGCTAATCATTATTTGTAACTTTATTTTATTAGAATTATATAATAGTAACTTCTCTCAAATAGATAAAAATTATCTTAATTTTTTTTATATTAGTAATATTATTAATATTAGCAAATTATTCAAACTCTTTAATTTAACTAATTAAGTCTTTATATATTTCTTTATTATAAGTAGAAAGAGATACTATTAATAGCTTAACTTGTTTATTCTGTTAGATTATTATTGCTTATATTAATAGAGCTAGAACAGTAACTAATATTTATATAACATATTTGATCATTTTTTTCTTAATTTTTTTGAGGTTAAAGTTGAGATGAGTCAAGAATTATAAGAGTTTAAACTTCTTCTTCTTCTAATTCTTCTTTTATATTTCTTAACTATATTAAAATTATATTTTTAAAGATTAATAAAGAAGATATTAGATAATAAAGCTAAAATAAATAAAGATGAAACTAAAGTAAAAGTTCTAACTAAAATATTAATTAGAGTACTATAACTAATCACTTATTTATATAGTGCAGTAGACATGATGTAATATATAATGCAGTTGCAATACATAATATAGTAATTGCCAATCACTACTAAATTAGATAAATAAGTAATTTTATTAATTAATCTTATTTATAGTTAATTCTATTTTTAATCTATATTATTACTTATATTTAGTCTTATTCAAATATTAATTTAACTATATATGTCATATCTAATTTATAGTTTTATTAAATTAATAATTTTCTAATTAATTATTATTAAT